AAAAAAAAAAAAAAAAAAAAAAAAAAAGAGAAGTGGTCACCATTCTCTGCCATTAAACGGGCAAATGCGAGCAGCTGGACATTTTTTGTTTGTGTGTGTGTTTCGAAAAAGGAAAGTAATAAGCCTTTAGAATAACAAGGTAAGTAGGCCTGCTTCTAGTTCACACAGTTCCAATAAGTTGCGATTGGTTAAATAAACTCAGTAAACTAAATAGCAGAGAAATGCGACTATAATCAAGCGCAGACAAGTAGGCCTACTGAAGTGTACAAGAAATATGCAGCAGTCGTAACTTGGTTTTACGGAGTTAATTTAATTAATATTGTGTAGGCCTATTAATTGATGTTCACTTAGATTTTTTCCTCAGCAGGGGAAATAATGCTCATTTATAGTCATATGGTAAAATGTATATTTTTATTTTTGTACATTCAAAATGACAACAGAATGTCATGCCTTTCAAAAATAAAGAAAACAACAGAATGCGCCACTTCAGCGCATCTCGGTCTCCTTGAGAATCTTTTTGGCGCACACCACAAACATGAACCAATAGAGTGGTGGAACTATGATGTCACTTTGTAGGCAAAAACCCGGAAGCGAGTTAGCATTTTAGCACTTCCGGTTCCTTCATCCCCGAGTCAATGGGTTTTTTGAATGGGAGTTTGGTTAAATCCCCTAAAATAAGGTCCGTGGTTCACACAAGCACAAGATACGTTCATGTTTTATTCTACGACATAAAACACACCAGTTACACCCCACTCGTGATTTTTTAAAACTGTTACGTTTCTTAAAAAAGATGGTTGCTAACAAGTTGCTAAATGGGACTACAGGCGCGGTCGGAGACATTTAACGTCATCACGCCGAACAGTTTATCAATTTACAGTATCTTCCAACCGCAGAGTATAATTTATAGTACGATTAATTGTAGAATAACCAATTAATAGTTTACCACATTTTATATTGTTGTTCGACCATGTTTTTTTTGCTTTGCCCCGAAATGCAACACAAGTCTTCGGATGGAAGATGCTCATTTTATCGCTTTCTTACTGATACGGAAACTCTGGGTTCGGTAACATAAGGTAAACTCATATGATTATTCCATGTAAACACCACATTTACCGCCTTAGTCGCGGTGAAAGTGAAACTTTAACGATGCATAATGTTTAAAGCCATGTTAAAATGAAATTTTTTACGGCCACAAGCAGCTGTTAGAAAACATATAGAGGATTTGCTAGAAGCAAGGATAAAATAACATTTTGTGTCTCCACCCTAACAAAACGATAGCTGAAATGTGGTTCTTTATTCACTAAAATAAGTTTCATCTTACCATATCCAAAAACTCACTCACTCTGTTATTTAATAGATTAAATGCGCTAAAATTTTATTGAATAGTACGTGGAGACACGTTTTTAATTAAAATATTCATATTAATCAAAGATTTATTCCTTTTAATGCACCTTATTTCGAAATGTACATAAATACGTGCTTTCATATGTCCTTTAGTTATGATTAATTCATTTATTCACTATACTATTTATTACTAATGTCTCATTTCAGTTTTAGTTTCACTCTAGTTTTGTATTTATTCCAGTTTATATGAAAAGATTCATGTAGCGTGGATTAAAATTCATATGCAGAGTACATCCTTTTCACTGAACATGTTAAAAATAAGTTTGAAAAGTTGTGGGAAGCATGCTGGTGGTGACGATGAAGGCGAGCAACCGTAGTGCTGTAGTTCGTTTATAGCCTAAGTTTAGCTTTTAAAGGGGTCATATGATGCTTTTTTAAAGATCATTATTTTGTGTATTTGGTGTAACAGAATATGTTGACATGCTTTAATGATCTATGCACAATCAGCTTGTAACACTCCAAAGAGAAAGGAAAACTTGAAATAGCATCATATGACCCCTTTAAGTTCTGGCGCTTTTATTTTGGCTTCAGAATTCATAAAAGTTATATTATTTTGTGAAGATTATCTTGATGGACAAAACGTGTAAGTTTCATGAACTATGATTGAACACAGAGCTTATTTTTTGCGATAATCCAGAAGCCTATGGAAAAATCCTATTGGCTTTTTGTCGAGGGATCTGAGTTGGTCCTCTTTCATAACCCATAATAGGGAGATGGTCCTCACTGCAGAACAACAGCCGTCATATACTGACACGCCCAGCTGATGCAAAAGCATAGAATTTATATCTACACAGAAGAAAGCCCTGTCTAGACTCTGCCCCGGTACGAGTTGTTGAGCTATTAATTTGTCTGGTTGTTTGATGAGAAAAAGATTAAATGTAGTTGCAATAAACGCATCAAGAATCCGTACACCTGCAGCAGCGGAGGACTATTATTCTGCTGCGTGATACTGCGGAAGAACTGACGGCACGGATTGATCTTCGGCTGACCAATCAGCAGAAAGGGGAGTTTAATTCCCGCCCACATGTAGAAATTAATATTCAAGCTGTTTATTCATTTTTCTACCCCTGAATGAAAAAAAATAATTAAGCTGAATTCTCGTTTTTCGTTTTTTTGGGAAAAAAAAAGAAAAAACGAAAAAGGAGCTGTTTTCTTATTGTTCTACTTTCAATATTAAATAAAAAAAACGAGTGAACAAATGATACACGGATTTAAATATATATATATATATATATATATATACAGCTACTGTAGTTGCCAAGGTAATATTTCTCATTTTTGCTTTAACTTAAAGTGATAAAATAACTAAAACTAATAAAAATAAAAATCAGTGAAAGCTACAGTATATAGACATATTTCAAAATTTAAACCAAAACTACTAAAAAAAGACAAAGCACAGCAAAATTACTAAAACATCAAGTAGAGTAAAACAGGACATCAAAGAATCAATGCTGATACTTTTTCCCCTCAGTATATTTTCCGCAGGTTGTTTTCTATGTGAGCCTTAGGCAGCCATCATCATTATTATTATTAGTGCAATCATGCTGATTTGTAACTGTCCTGCTAAGATAATTCTAGTAAATAAGATTTAGTATCAGATCACCAAGTGAAAGAGGAAGCCATTATGATCTCTCGTTTGACGACTTGAGGCTAAATTTACTGGAGCTCAGGTGGTTTGTCAGAATGCTGCATGTACTCCACTGTATTTTGTGAACCTGCAATAATGTGGGACTTGCCTGGTGAATTTCTAGTTTGGACCAGTCATTGGTATACTTCCCTTGCCTGCATCCACTGTTCCGATTTTTTTCTCATGCTATTTTTGAGAGGGAGAGCGATGCTTTTCCACGAGTCTCTGAAACCATTTGAGTCTCATTCGGAAGAAAATCTCTCCAGAACGTGAACTCGTGTCACATAAACAGCTGGTATTTTAGCAGATTTCACAAACTCGTAGGCGTGATGTGGTTTGTTAGTGGGCTAAGGGTGTATTTACCTGACCGTCAGACTTTCTGGCTAGAACAATATGAAAGATGATTGTCTTCTTGGGGAAATCTGGAGAGGGAGAGGAAAAGCACTGGGAGACTCGCAGGGCTCGTCTCTGGGACTGACAGCTTGAATCAGTGTCTGCTAAGGGAAAATATCACAGGACTCTTTTCTCAAAAGATAATTTGGTTTTGTTGAGGAACTAAACCCATCTTACTAACCCTGTGTGTTCGGCTGTGAACATTGAATAGTTTTATTTTTCTTCGGAGCAAAAAAACAAAGCTCTGTTTGGGCCGATGACGACATGCGATGGCAATTGCTTTCTCCATTATAAGTTGTGTATCCTCATCCTTTCCCTGGAGATTATGAGTGGAGGTAAAGATTGTCTCTCTTGCCTCAAATATTACCTTCTTTTCCACTTACAGTAAAAAAAAAAAAAGAAACAAAAAATTCTAAGGGAAATC